GTGATAGCGGGAATCACATCAGAGGCTGATGCATCAGAGGAGCTCACCTGTCGAGTCAACTCTTCGAATGGCGCCAAAATTGTCACTGCCTTCTCTAGCAGGTTCCACTGATTAAGGCCGAGGCTGTCGGGGAGCTCATGTTCTGACCCAAATAGCCCGTTCTTGCTCAGTGAGGGACTGTAGCGTACAGAACGTGCTGTTCCACCGTGTTTTCACGTCTTGTTGGAGACATTTCACGGGCTGGTTGAGCTGCAACTGAATGTCTTCCAAGCGGGAATATGACAAAGTAGAATGTCTGAAATGCCCAACAACTTTCCGCCTGGCTGCCACAGCGTCAGCGACGCTCCGCTGTGCAAGCAGACCCTCCCCAGACAACAAATGTACACTGCGCCCGATTAGGGCCAAATGCAGCGCTGCATCCGGTCCGGATCCGTTCCAGAGTCAACAATATCTCCATATCCCACATAATTATTCACAAATCATTAATAATGAATGTTTTCAAAAAACGGTAAATTCAAAAAGGGAAACATAAAACCAAATACCTCAAAAAAAGGTTTACTGAATGTCATTATGTTTTCAACACAGCATTTTTTTGAAAAATGAATTCAAACAAGAAAAAACACAATGCCAGTACTGAGGTGTAGACTTATCAGCAAAAATCCTGCCAATAAAGAAGCGATAATTAGCTGCTTTGTTTTCAATTGTAATAAACTACATAAAAAACAGACTTTAACACTGATAGAGACTGATAAACTCTGCTCATGTCATCACAATAATACAGGTTAACTGGCAATTTCAACACAAAATACTACCATGCTGAGTTTTACAATGTCAAATTAAGAAGTGTGACCACTGAGAAGTGACAATCAGTGAAGCACAGTTCAACTAAAATGAATTGGAGTATAAAACAATACAATATAAAATACTACAATTTAAAATAATACCAGCAAATATTGTTAAGTGTTAACATAATTTCCAGCCTCTTAAAAATCATTACTGGTATCAGTCACAGTTTTCATATTGGTTGGGCTCTAATTCATGTTCTGGAATTCAAATCACTTAAAATTCTTACAGTTCATCACTGCTGCGGTCGACAGCTGAACGGTGAACTGAATGGTAACGATCTTTACAACCTTTTTTTCAAGCTCTCATTGAGGAAGCCCATTATTTACAGTTACCATCCAGTACCTGCTTCAGCCAACCCTACATTAAACTGAACCAAGTGTGCTGCTGATGAAATTGAACAAATCCATGCAAAATGGTGCTGCAGCAAGAAAGCAGGAACAAAACAACAATGTTCTTAACTGTTTTTGTCTATCCAACATATTAATAACTTTATTTAAAACAGGGCTGTCACTATCGATTATTTTAGTAATTGAATAATCTAGCGATTTCTCCTAGATTTAATCTAGATTTTTTTGATGTACACTGAAATTGTAATAGCCATTACAATTACAACACTGAAAATACATGATAAGAATGAGTCTGCTGCCAGAGGAGTACTGGCACTACTGTCCAATTAAGAGTCTGACCAATTCATTGGTTGGCCCAAATCAGCCAATATTTGCAGCCCACAGTTTTATTGGGGTCATGACCTTTCAAATGGTGGGTGAAACCTAAGAACTTAGAAGAAGAATGTTCACCCTATAGCAGACATGGAGGAAGTTGGATATAAAGAAGTGGTGAAAGAGGTTGGTTACCGAGGAAAACAACCGTTTTACATATCGGGCCTTGGCCTGAGCCCGGTAAGAGTTACCGAGCTGCCGCAGTAACGGCCCATAATGACGGTAAAACACGGTCTTTTATTGATTTATTTAATGCAAACCACAGCGTGAAACAGTATTCAGACACGTCAACATGACCGAGCTGCGGGAGTTAAACGCGCTCGGTGCTGCATGTATGTTTAAAAACACCGGCTGCGTTACTGTGACCGTTTTAGGACCACCTCAGACCATCACAGACCACCTCAGACCACCACGGCCACGGACGGTAAAGTCCGTGTGACATTCGCAGTTACGTTCTGTCTTATTGGATTAATTACACTTTCATGGCCAAATTAAAGACGACAAACACAACAACCCCACTTTGTACTGAACGGCGCTGCTCTTTTCTTGGTCTTTTTTCTATTCTTTTATTTTTGCCAAAAGGTTCAACTCACGCCATCACTGTGCTCGCCCGCGTCTGCTTCAGAGTCAGAGACCGTCTCAAAATTACAGGATTGTAGCTATTATTATTACCAGTAGTAGTAGCTTTAGTATCTCCGTAATTAGCTCTGCTGACGGTTCTGAACATATCAGCAGATGTACATACAGAGACAATAATAATAATGCTAATAATTTTAGCAGAAACACTTTCTTTTCGTAATTTTGAGAATTTTGAGACGGACCCTGAGTCTGAAGCGGCCGTGGGAGCAGCAGTGTGGGAGCTGAAGCTTCGTCTAATAAAGGTTAATCAGAGGGAACCTGGTTCTGTTTCTGAGGGGTATTTTACACACTTTTAACCAAATACGAGGACTGTGTTACTGGTTTATGTTATTTCAGCAGTTTCAAGAAAATAATAATTAAAAGTACCGTTAACCTCCCTTTCTTTAGGTAGAAATAGTAAAATCCGACACTGTAAAAAGCAGATAAAAATAAGACGATTAAACTAACGATACTGCTTACTCTGGCTAATACAGCTTAGCTGGCTAACGTTAGCTAACGTTAGCTGGCTAGCTCCACACACCACAATATAGAGCAATATAGGGTAAGTTAGGTTAGGTTCTAGATAATGGATATTAAAGCTGCTCTTAGAACATTTTCACATTTTCCAGTGAAGCTAACAGCTGCCTCTCACAGTACAGCCCAGCTAAGCTAAGCTAGCTGGTTACACAGCCGGGCGAGGGGGGTGATGTAAGGTTAAGAGTATGTCTTTATTAAACATTATTAAAGAGAAATCTCTGATGTTAATTTAGGTTGGAATTAGACATTTTGACTCACTAACTACCTCAGCTAACATAGGTTAGCTAGCACTGACGTCCTCCCCTCCAGCGACTGCACCACTCAGCTTATCTGCTTGTCAAACTGAATAACATATTAAAAGTTAAACGATAAAACCCGAGATACCTGATCGTAATTCTAATAAATGTGCAAATATTTAAAATACAAAACACACCTTACCTCAAAAGCAGCAGCGAGTTTAACAGTCAAAGTCAACTGACGACTGCAGAGGACTGAGGGGAAAAAGGGGAGGGGCTAATTTTAAATGAGGCGCAGTTTTTAAATGAGGCGCGTCTGTTTTAAAGGTCCGGCCCCAGTGCGCTCTGAGCCCGCTGACCGGCAGTGTGTCCAGTGCTGTTAACAGTTACTTGGCCCAAATGTGGCACAAGTCCGCAATGCTGATACGACTGCTAGGAGGACTTTGTGGTGGCCAAGGTAATCCGGCCCGAACATGCTTGCTGTCTGGGTCGTTTACTGCCAGCTGAAGTGTGTGCAGTTCATGAAAAGCTAGGCAGTCCAGCATCATCCATCGCCTTTATCATGTTTTTAGCATTGTCGCATTGAACTTTTAGGAATTTCCCAAGTCTTGAGCATTTCCTCAGATGTGCTTGCTGTGGCTTGGCCTGTGTGGGACCCACGGAACTGTTCTGCGTGCAGTACAGCTCGCTGGAGAATGAAACCATCGTCCATCCACTGTGCAGTTAGGCTAATGAGAGACACTGGACAGACGCTGCTGCTCCAGATGGCCGTAGTAAAGCTTAAGGCTGTAATGTCCTGCAACAAGCTCTTGATATGCTTTGCACCGTGTCGTGCGTCTTTGGTAAGACAGTTTCCGTTACATGATAATGGCTGGGGATTTCGTGCTTGGGCTCTAACACATCAAGAAGGCGCCGAAATCCCTGGTTGTCGATGACCGAAAATGGTTGATCATCAAGAACAGTATACTGGGTAGGAGCTTCTGTCATGTTCACAGGTCTAGGGTTGTGCGTAGACATTGGATCTCGTCTAGCTGGCGTTTGCTGCAGTGTTGGTTGATGGCGTGGTCTGTTAGCTGCGAACTGCTCGTGCTGAGTTTCGTGTTTCATTTTAAGATGGTTTATCAGGTGACTTGTGTTGTAGGAAGATGCAGAAGTACCTCCTCTTGATATTCATAGAGCACAGTTTGAGGTCTGCTTTGCTTGGGTTGCCATCACTGATTGTGAAATAATTCCAGATCGCCGACATTTTGAGTTGTCTTCTCATTAGTAACGTAGCTGACCTGCACTCGGCACAAGGTATCGGATGTTGGTATCGGAGCCTCGTTTGCGATGACGAGTACGAGTAAATGAACACGGTATGGGGCAAATACCCGATACCAGTATCGGTGTTCATGCATCTCTAATGTAAAGTAAATGAAACACACATTTAAAACACAATAAAGAGTTAAATTAACTTGTGTTCATTTTGTCATTTATGGTTAAAATTATGTTTCTGATGTAACAGAAAAAAAACTTCAGCAAAGGGAAGCAGAGACTCAATTTGCACATGTAGAGAACAACACAGTTTTTCTGTCAAAGTTACTGTAGCTGTTCCTGCTACCATCAATGCTTAAAGGGCCTCAAACGCAAGGCGTTTATTTGCAGAACAAGTTGAGCATTGAACAGAAATGTTGTCAATGTTAATGCATTTATCACTGATACCATTTATGCATGAAAAATGTAACACAAATTGATTTGCTTTGTTTACCTCAAATTTGATTAAAATCCATTTTACTTGTAAACAACCTTATCAGCCACGTTTTTAAAGTCCAGAAGCTTGGAGTCCACTAGACCCATCTGCAGTTCATGAGCTTAACCAAGGAAATTCACTCAAGCTTGAAGAATAGTGAAACAGCCTTAAAGCGTAACTGGTGAGGACTAGCAGTGGAGCCAAGATGTACTGCTAGAAATATCCATAAAAAAAACAAACAAACAAATAAATAAAAAAAAAACAGTATGATGAATAGCAGTCATGTAATTAAATAGTCTGTAATTAAAGTCTTACCTCTATATGATGAGGTTGATCCCCAGTCATCCCCATTCTTTGGAACGGTGTGCTGGTCACAAGATGTCTCAGCTAAAGTCATAATAATAATGATTATTTTACATGCAGTTCTGGTTTACAGCCAAGAGACAGTGTGTACCTTACCTCTGTAATTGTTAGGAGTCCCCCAGTCCTGGTCATTCAGCATCTCTACAACAAAACAGTATGCCTCATATTTAATGAGGATGGGCAGTAATGACAGTTTTGTTTTTAAATTTATGAAACAAACTTGGGGAAAGACAGTTTTTTCAAATTATTCGATGATGTAAAGACTTGTTTTATTTATTTGCTTGAGGATTTTCTTTCTGTAATTATGTACAGCAGTAAATGTAATATACAATACTAAAGCTTATACACGATAATTAAACTACTTATTTTCTAAGCTTTGCCACAAATACTCCTGTGGGTGTGGTTGTCTCTCCAATATACAGGGAGATTCACTTGAAAGAGGCCCAGAATATTCTGTAATAACTCTCTCTAGGATGAAGCAATCTGGATGAAACAATGTGCAATGAGCTCCATAGTATATGGAGCTTTGAACAAGCTGAGATGCCCCTGAGTCAGAGCGATGAGGTAGGCGCCGGACAGGTGCAGACCGCCATACCCCTTCATGCATCTGTCAGAGATTATTTCCAGCATTGCATGTAATGCAATTAATTATACATACATCAAGGTATGTAGTGTATTTTTTGGTTCAGATTGCTTCATCCTAAGGGGAGTTACCACAGAATATTCGGGGCCTCTTTCGAGTGAATCTCCCTGTATAATCCACATTATGTTCATCTGTAACTAGGCCTCATTTTTATATCCGTTCATTAAGAATTATTAGTATTAGTATAATATACTTTTAAATGGCTTGTTTTAATAATTAATGAAAAGATGGCTCAGATAAGTCAGATAAGACAGTGTTCAGCTTGATTTTCATGTTTTATATTAAAGTGCCAGTGGATCAGACTGACATACACTCAGTGACAAGAATAATGGAAACATCTGTTTGCCCAACAGACTTTCCCTCCATTTATAGTCTTTATGGGCTGGAACTATGTATGGCTTTTCAATATTCAAGTAAATCTTGTGATGTGTCCTTAGATATGAGCAATTTTCTATTATATTAGCATCAATTATACCTACCTGTGTAGGATATGGGGGGCTCCTGTTCCAAATTCCCTACTGCAGAGTTTTCCATGAAAGCACCTGGCTGATCAGAAGTGCTCTCTGAAAAACAAACAGACAGATAGGGATCACATTCTATTACTTAGCAATAGTAACAAAACAACCCAGACACACATATTAAATGTATTTTGTCTTTACTCTATTTTTTAAAGTTAGATTGGTCCAATTTCATTTTTTTTATTTTAATCTTACAACATGTAGCCAACCTAATAGAAGTATTACCTCTGTATCTGCTAATACAGTAAAAATTTAGTTCCTATCTAAACAGATAAAATTACCTTTATGTAATATTTAATTTCACTAAAATGTCTGCTGGTTCTACATTCCTTAAAAAATGGTTCTTCAAGGGTTCTTTTGTAAACAAATGGTTCTGTATACAAACCCATTCCCAAAAATCTGGGACTTTATGCTTTAAAAGTAACTAAAAACAGAATACAATGAAATGCTAATGATCAGAATCCTATATTTCATTGAAAATAGTACAATATATTAAATATATTAAATATAGATACATTAAGACAATATATTAGATGTTGAAACTAAGAAATAATAGTTTTTTTTAAATATATATGTCCATTTTCAATGCTACTTTGTGGCTAATTTCCCAAAATTTGTAGCTGCTACAATTCAGCTACTTTTCCAGAAAAGTAGTGGCCATTTTTTAGCTACTTTCAAAGCGCGACTGTCAGAATGTTTGTGAATCTCCACCTGACACACCAAACAAGCCCACCTGACACACCAAACAAGCCCACCTGATAATGTGAACAACACACTGCATTTAATGCGCCACTGAAAAGCTGCAAATATAAAAAAGATCACCAAAGAGTGAGTTTAAGTGTAACCAGCAATCAAACCAAAAGCCTGAAAACCAACAAACATGTAGACTAAGTAAAAGCAAAGTCCATCATTCTGGGTTTTTCCTAACAAAAATCAACAAAAATAACTGAATACAACCCAAACGATTTTGTACCAAGTATTGTGAACTGTTGAACTAAAGCTGCTCAGATGTAAACATTTCAGCAGGATCTACAGACACGACATTCAGAGTCCTTTAAACTTCAGCACCACTTCAGCCTCAGAATCCTCATCGGTGACTCTGGCTCTGTTTGGGGTGAATCAGGCCTGAATAATCTCTCCACTGCTGCAGAGCTGCTGCGGCTCCACAGCAGAACTGGATTTGTAGGTAAAATAACATAATAATCCTCCTTTACTGTAAAATCATTATAACACACAGTTTTCACAGTAAACGGTCTGAAACGCTGGAGTTAACGCAGAACTGCTCATCACCACCCTTTAACGCTGAAGACTGACGCGCAGACCGCGGGTCTCACAGCAGCGCAGATAACCAAACAGAAAACAGAGAGATTTAAGACGAACGTCGACCGTTTGGAGATGGACGGACTTATTCTGCAGTTATAATCACTCAGCTGGTTTCCTGATACGGTTAATCTGCAACAACTCGCGATGCTGAAGTCGCTTCTCATTCACCAGCTTCTCGTTTGAACTGACCCGTTCCACCTTAAATGGTGCCTGAGGCGCCAGACTGTACTGCTGCGCCATTTAAGGTGGAACGAGACAATTCGAACGTTCAACCTTAAATGACGCAGCAGTACAATCTGGCGCCTCGGGCACCATTTAGGCCAACACACACACCACGCAAGGACGCGAACGCAGACGCCTCGAGCTACGCAGACGGGGCTTCGCGCGTAGTTGCGTTCAAAAATGTGTCACAACGCGTCACAGCAAGGGGCGCTATAACGACAGCCACGCGCAGCCAGCGTGTTTCTCGACCGCCACAGCGCAGGAGCCGCTGAGTCTCGCGCAGAGGTGGCGTAGAAATCTGATTAACTGTCGCGTTTCCGATCCGAGGGAGGTGAAGCAGGTCGCTCTCCTCTACTGCCCACGTTCAGCTGTCGAGGCTGCTGGAATAGCATTAGATCCTCTCTGATCTGTCCTCTATCGCCCCCTTCAGTCCCGAGTGATTTAACCTCCACATCAACGGAAGAACGCGCGGTCAGTTTGTACAGAAGGACCGACCGTTTGCAGCGCGCCGACCGAGCGGTCATTCGCGTTCATGTCCTTGCGCTGAGTATGTTTCTGGCCTTAAGGTGGAACGGGACAATTCGACAGTTCCACCTTAAACGGCGCGGCAGTGCGTTCTGGCGCCTTTAAGGTGGAACGGGACAATTCGAAAGTTCCACCTTAAACGGCGCAGCATTGCGTTCTGGCGCCTTTAAGGTGGAACAGGACACTTCGGGCGAGAAGCTGGTGAATGAGAAGCGACTCCAGCCTCGCTGAAGTGGCTCGTTGAGCCGTTTTGCAGGAAGCGCGCGGAGGAGCTTCGTAAGATGCGAGAGAAGCGGCCGCGGCTGAAGGTCCGAGCGGGGCGGAGCCAGTCTGAGTTTCCTTTAGACCGTATTTGATCCTGAACCGGAACATCAGCGCCCACCGAGACACGCCGACAGCCAGGACGGTGAACCGTGAAGCGCTGCGGCTCCCGGGGCGGTTTGGACAAAACGGCTCTTGCTGACATTTCGGTGTCCGACCCGCCAGCTAAGCCTGCTAGTACGGGGTGATCAGCGCGTGGGACCGAGACTGTCGTCACTGCAGAACCAAAAGTCCAGGGATTCGGCTGGTTCTGATCCAACTCCTCCCGCGTCGTGTTTAACTGGTCTGAACTGGAGTGGAGCTGATAAAATGGACAGTGAGTGTAGAAAGACAGAATGAGCTAATAAAGTGGCTGATCAGGGTTTATAACATTTCAGATGAGTTTATTCAGGTATACTGAGTTTTTAAATGTTTATTAGACTTATGGAAATGGGTGGCAGTCATACCAAATCCTTTTAAATGAAAAAAAAGTCATATTTTTTTTTATTATGAAATTCCAGGATTTAGTTGATAAAACAGTTATGTGGGTTATGTTGACCTGTCTTAACTGCATTCTAGTGTTTAAAACCGTTCATCGTTTTTAACTAGAACCCGTCTATCATAAGTACACTTGAGATGCAGGCCTACAGAACAGATTTGTACCGGAATGTGAAAAAGCTTTCCGAGGTTTGACGAAGGAGTGTGAACGTGGTGAACCATGAGCGGTTATAAAGGCTGTGTTGTGGCGTTCAGGACGGAGCGACATAGAGAAAAACACAAAGACACCAGCATCACCTGCGGGTTTCCCACAGGTAAAAACGCGATAGGGTAGACCAGTGAAATGAGTCGTAGGAGGAAAAAGTAAGGGTTTTTGTTTGTTTGTTTGTTTGTTTTGACCTGAAGAGAAAGATTGGTATCCCCCTCAAAAGCCACTATGTTTATATCTTTTTGATGACCTTTTGTTTAACCCAAATGAGTGTTTTATCATAAACCTGATCATAATAATAGCTACATTTTATATACATGAGGTAAAATTTGCCAGAAAAATCCCTTCATACATCCCGTTTGTACGCACAGATCTGTGTGATTACATTTCTACATTGGTGAATTGGCACCAGCAGCACAATAAGAAGTATTGTAAACCCGTTGCTATGATTAAGCTTTTAAATTTTATTTCAATCCCAGTGGTGCTCTTTTTTGTTTTTCTTTCTTCTTTCCTCTTTCTTTTTTTCATTTTGTTTATTCTGGGATGTGAAGGCTGTAAGGCATCCTATTGTTATACTTGTTTGTATATATATGGTTATATGCTGGAAATAAACAAAAAAAAGAACATACTAGTTTAAACTAATAGACCAATAGAAATATGATGATTTTAGACCGATGAAAATAAGACGTGGGCGGAGTTGGATCAGGTCCGGCTCCACCCCTTTGGACCTGTGGTTCTGCAGCGAGTGATAGTTGGTGGGACCCGCCGTGACCGCTCGAGCTGTCCGCGGCTCAGTCAGAACTGCAGAGTCGCCACCGGCCCAGTTAACGACCGCGCTATGGTTCAGATTTTCGCGGATCGTCTGAAGCTTGTAGTGAAAATCATCGCTGTAGCTACACTAAACTGTGTAGGCGCTGCAGCTGTGGCTACAAAAACTGTAGTTATTCCGCTGCTTAGCTGCTCCCATCCCTGCTTTGAACAACACTCTGTAAGCGCTGGGGAACTGAGCAGACCAGTTGCTGTGGTTCTGGAAGTGAAATGTTTCCCATTTTTGCTTTATGTAGGATTTCAGCGGCTCAACAGTTCTGGGGCTCTTTTGTTGTGTTTTTCGTTTCATAATGTGCCAAATGTTATCAGTGGTGACAGGTCTGGACAAAACTTCACTAGTATATACATTTTCTGAAATATGTAAAAAAAAAATTGAAATATTACAGATTTTTAAACTTTAAAAAGGATTTTACAAACCACAATTACATGAAAAGTCGGACATTCTGTAAATTAAAGACAATAAAAACAAGAATCTATGATTTGTTACTTCTCTTGAACCTTTTATTTAACTGACAAAAGTTACTTGTAATGTTTTGGATGACAAACCAAGTATTTTGTTAATATGAATAAATGTTTAAACCTGCAGCACATTCAAAAAAAAAAAAAATAGAACAGAGGCAAAATAACAGTGAAGGGTTTATAGAACATTGAAGTTACACCATTTTGAAACATTCCAGCAGGTGAATTGGTGACAGGTGAGGGTATCAGGATTGATTATCAAAGGAGCAACAGTTCTTTTCTAACTGTTTGGTACAGAGTGGTGGCCATGACCCATCTTTGCTTGCAAAGACTGAGCCTTTGGTAGACCTTTTATACCCAATCATGAGACCCTCACCTGATACCAGTTGAGTTGTTATTGTGGAATGTTTTCAAAAGGTGTAACTTTAATATTTTAAAAACATTTCACTCTTATTTTGCCCTGTTCCAACTTTTTTTGTTGTTCTTGTTGTAGGCATCAAATTCAAAATGTGTTTAGATTTACAGAATACAATCAAGTCAAAGCAGTAAAAGTCATTTCTTTGTACTTTTGTCAGTTAAATAAAGGTTTAAGAGAATTAAAAATCACAGATTCCCTTTTGTTATTGCATTTTACAAAATGTCTAAACTTTTCAAGAAATGGGGTTTGTAAATAAATGGCAGCA